AACACAATATTGATTGTAACAGACATGTGCCTGCCTACTTGATTACATGGCATGTGACTGATGGATCCTGCACAGGTGTAAGTGTAGGCAAGTGGCTGGTGGGCTTGGCAGTACTGATGGGATGCAGACGGAAGAGAGCAGGGTGAGGAGAATCAGTAACCCAGGGCCTCTGCTCCATCAGCCTGTGGAGCCTGCACAGCCAGAGAAGCTGCTAAGCTCCAGACCCCCTGCTCTGGCCAGAACAGGGATGAGGCACAGGGGAGCTGACCAACGTTCAAGGACACGGCAAACACATTAAATTTAAGAAGAGCGTATTTAACACACCTTAAGTGCCCAACTTACTTACACCTATGGGTACCGAGTTCAGAGCATGGTCATAGTCTCTACACGAACCCTTCCGGAGGCCCTAAATGTTGGTTCATGAGAGATAAGCAATCCAGTCGTCACCACACAACTTGAAAGGAAAATGCAGGACTAACATTTGTAGCAGATATTTATCTTTTATAGTCATAGATTTGATGTATAAATACATAACTTTTATAGTCATAGATCTGATGTATAAATACATAACTTTATCTCCCTATTTTCAAGTGTGGCTTCTCCTCAAGTTGCTATATCTGTAACTAAGACACTTTCATTCTTTCTTGGAAATACTCAGTCTCACCCCCTCCTTCCTTTCCTTAGAGAAGCAATTTCAAATACTAGGTAAGCCCATGATCCTGATCCCGCATGCATTCAGGTCTTGTCTCTGTTACTTCACTGCTGTGGGCATTTGGGCAAAATTACTTAATTTCTCTGTATGTTAGGTCTACCTTCTGTCAAATAGGAGGTGATAAACAGGAGGTTCTGAGGGTAACTGGTGGGTAATTACTGACCTCACAGGACTGTTCTGACTAGTAAATGAGTTAAACTATGTTATTCCACAGCATATCTCATAGCATTTACCATGTTAATTGTATTTGGCAGATAGCAAATGCCATGAGAATGTTAGCCATTGTTCTTACTGCTGAATTAATTCCCTGGGAGCTTCTATTTTACCAACATTTTGGTCTATCTCATCCAAAACCCCTCCCTGGACCTGAGGGACCATCCACTGCTGATATAAATCAACCTCTTTTTCACTCAGTGACCTTTGTTCCAGTCAGTACCACACACACCATCCACTCACCAGGCCTCTCCAGCCCAACAGCCCACACTCAGCAGCTTTGGAATCTCTGAAGAGTCACAGCAAATCTCAGATCCTCTTGGGTCCCATGTCACTCAAGGCAGGAGACACAGAATGGAATGGGGTTCAACTTACAGTCTCTCTCCCTAAGGTGCCATATCACCATTTCCTGTTTCTACCCTGCTGAAGAAACGCCATGTCACGGTGTAAGGTTAAATGAAGAGTGCAACTTTTCTAAGTGGCTTACTCTTGGCCAAGGGTCAGAAAACATTTTACGTGAAGGGCCGGATGGTAAATATTTGAGGTTTTAAGGGTCATATTGTCCCTATTGCAACTACTCTATTCGGTTGTTGTAGCAGGAAAGCAGCCATAGATGATAGGTAAGCAAATGAGCATGGCTATCTTCCAACAAAGCTTTGTTTACAGACACAGTCAGCAGGCAGGACTTAATCTGCCAACATAGTTTACCAACCACCTTTCTAGACCAGAAACTCCTTGAGAATGCAGAAATGTCTAGATCTTCTAAAACCTCTACACAGAGAATATACCACTTTCCATTCATAGTGGTATAGGAAGTCAGTGATATTCATGTAAAAATTAAATAAAACAATAAATGTAGGAGTGTGTCCCCTACAACTATCTATTAAATCCATTCTTGTCTTTTAAAATCAATCATCCATTTTTTAGACGATTGAGTTGCATCTTTTAGAGTTTGGACTTGTAGGCAAAATCCCTTCTGAGCTCATACAAGTTATGTTTAGTCCGGACTTTGCTTCACCTTGGTTTCAAAGCCCCTTTTCAGGACTGAGCTAAAAGTATCACTAAGAGGGCTCCAAGCCCTGACATCAGCCCCACAGAGGAAGCTTCTGGACCTTGGGAAATCAGGTTCTATTAAGTCCTCAGAGATGAATCCAGCTCTAACCATGGGAAAACTGAGGAATCTTGGATGGATACCACTGCCACGGTGGAACTCAACTTCCTCTGGCAGCCTGGGACCTGTGAGCTTTATAGAGCTCTCCTATAGGTGAGAGAGGCCAGGAAAGACTGAAGTACATTCAAATTCTAAGAAGCTGTAAAGACCAAGTGGGAGTGCTGCAGCCAGTTGTCTGCAGCCCCCAGTTCCCCGAATTCTATTCCCAGCATCAGCCTGCCTCATTCCCTCCTGCGGTCATCAGTCCCCATTTGTAATCCACCCCTAATGTGAGACACTGTTAGAGCTCCGAGATCCAGCGTCCCCAGCAATCACCAGGCATTAGCCCTCCTCAGTATCACTCTTAATTCAGTCCTACAAATGACCATGTGGCCTGAGGATCCCGGACAATCAGGTCATCTCATTTGTTCCGGATCCACTGAGTTTTGTGTTAATATCCTTGTCCCCAGCTACACATCAGTCGTCACAGAGCCATGAGCATAGATGACATCCAACTCGTCAGTCTTAGGCCTCTCACAGCCATTTCTGGCTTTTCAGGCTTACTTGCAGACAGATGATGCCCTTTCTGTGCCAATACACCTAAGGCCTTAGGATGTCTTTCTGGGATCCTTCTAGCAAGATCTGTTTTTCTTCGGCCTCCCTCGTTTCCTCTCCTCATAGATAAAGAGCAAAAGCAGATTACAGTGCAATAGGCCAATCTCTATGCCACAGAGTTTGTGCACCAACACTTATTTTCATTTAGTTCTTCAATAACAATTATTTCCCAGTCAGAGGGGGAGACTTTTGATTCCCTACTGAAGATTAAAAAAACCTCTTCCCCCATACTTATAATTTTCCTAATAGGAAGTCACCCCTTTGTTCTTAAACTTAATAAAACGGCTCCTTTACCAATTCCCTAGGAGTCTACAGCTTAGTAAAACTCCAGCAGCCGTTTATTGAACTCTTATTAGATGGCAGGGACTGTACTAATCCTTTTATCATAGATTATTTCCCAACACTGTTATCACCTCTAATTTACATATGAGGAGACTGTGAGCCAGAGAGTTGAGAGACTTGGTTTAACATCCCACAGCTAAAAACTGGCAGAATTAACCAGTTTGACCAGAGCCTTCCTGCATAGAGCCCTCATACCTGATCCCACAGCACACTTTATAGAAGTGCTTGTCCTTTCTCAAAAACTTTGCAGCAACACATTCAGTATTATCAACGACCACCTTTTCAGAATAAGACTTAACTAGGAAATATTTTCCACAGAAGTTTCATGACAATATTTGTCACTTTTCTAAAACTTGTTTATTTGAATGAGCACCAAGGGTCATGATGGAATGTTCTTTGTATGAAATCTTAAAAATTCAGTAATTCTTAATATCAACAAATATGAATGATGCCCTTCCTTATTATCTGAAAAGAAATTAGAAGAAAGGTATCAGAGAATATACTCTTTAGAATGACTGATTACTGAAAAATACCAAAATATTTAGCCAGGTAAGTAAAATATAGTGGTTCATTTGTACTGTATCAATAGTATTGAGCCAAGCCTGTATTCTGAAGTTGTAACATACTTGAAGAATTAACCTTTTTTTTTCTTTCTTTCTTTCTTTCTTTTTTTTTTTTTTGGTGGGGCTGTAGCTGTAGGAGGAGTGGGGAGTGTGGGTTGCCTCTCATTCTTGTTCAGTATCAAATAGCTTCATTGGGAAGCTCATTCAGAATTATCTATACTTCGTTTCCCAAAATCACTATATGCAACAAAGTTACCAGAAGTAATCTCCATTTTCAGAGAAAAGACTTTAGGTTTTGGATTAGGTACACTGGCTATTAACTTACCCAACAATCACACAACAGTGCTGTAGATGGATCTCAGTTTAGACTCTACTTTCTTCAAATAGTTCTTAATCAGCTGCAACTTCTTATCAGAGATGCTGGGAAGAATTAACATTTTAAATGATAATTATCTCTGATGACAACATGTGGTTATTTAGTGAATATGATGATTATCATGGGTTCTTAAACAGAACATCTCCTGAGGTGCCTGGGTAGCCCAGTCAGTTGAACATCCAACTCTTGATTTCGGCTCAGATCATGATCTCATGTGGTGAGATCAAGGCCTGAGTCAGGCTCCACACTGAGCATGGAATCTCTTTGGATTCTTTCCCTCTCTCTCTGTCCCTCTTCCAACCATGTGACAGTTCCCTTTCTCTCTCTCAAAAATAAACATTAAAAAAAGAGTACATTTCCTAAATACAATTAGATATTCATAGACATAAAACATTACTTCTAGGGTGATGGAAATGTCCTAAAATTTGATTGCTGTATCAATTATACAACTCTATATAAACTAAATTTCATGGAATTGTACACTGAAAATAAATGAATGTTATAGCATGTAAAGTATACAAGCTAGTTTTAAAAAAATAATAATACAGGAGAAAATATGTTGCTGAGGCCAATAAAAATTACTTTCATTTCTAATTATCATTTGCTAATGAAACCAGGAATCAGGCATCATGTTAAACAGGGAATCTCAATCAAAGAAACTTCTTTGCTTCATTTCACTTTTTTTCTTTATATCTCACTTAATCCCCCTCATTGAAGTTGTCTGGATAGGTATCCCCTGCTCTGCCTCATAGATGAAGGAAGGAACATTAGAGGTTTCCTAGATCTGAAGAGAAGGAGCCAAGAGGCACATCCAGATTTCTCTGGACTCCAATGACTCTGCTGAGTTCTACAATTTCCTTAATCCTGGACACCCTATTATGTCTTATTTAAAATATTGAAAAGTTAGTCCAAATCCTTGCCCAAATAGCATTTCAGTAAGCAGCCTTATAGGATATTAGAATATATTTAAAGTCTGGAATAACTATTCAATAAGTTGAAATTAAAAAAAAAAAAATGAACAGAGGTCACCTTTGTTCTTTACCCAAGGGCTCCATTTTGGCGTGTGCTGGAAGGTAGCGTGTTGCTTCAAAGTCATCTTGAAAGCTGCACAATCAGGGCCTATCAGAGCTGTAACCTCAGCCTACGAAACAAAGATCCACAGTGCTTATCCTTCAGTTTGTTAAAACATGAGATTTCCTATTTAAAAACAGCTGCTCAATGACACCAGTGTGGATTTTATAGAGGCTTGATAGTCTTCTCTATGAACTTGCAAGAAACTGTCTTTTGGCCTCTGACCTCTGGCTGTTTATATTTGCTTTTCCTTTTGTTTGGAACAGTCTTCCTAACCTTGTTAACCAAGCTGAGCGTCTTCAGTTCTCTTCTTGGAAGGCATCACCTTGGGGAAGCCTGACTTGACTTACATGCCATTCCCATGTGGGTTAGGGAGACAAAGTGTTCTCTGAGAGCCTGTAGTTCACTGCTTACAGCACTAGTGCCCGCTGTTGTAGCTGCGTGCTTAATGCCCAGTGAGACGCATCTGCCACTGAGTCTCCAGCAGATAGTACAGCAAAGGGAAATAGTGGGCACTCAGGAAATAATTACTCAATGAATAAAAGAAATAGCCTAAACTTACTTTCTACCAGAAATTTCAAGTTTTTGTTTCATTTCATTTTTCTTTTTTTATTTACAAACTGCAGTCCCTATCTGTAAATAGTTTAATCTGTGAGTATATATATATATATATGTATATATATATATATAAACAATGGTAATATCATATGGTGAGCAAGCATGTGTATATGCTATCAATTGAGGCATATAGAAGACACAGTCTAAACATAATCTCTATTTACTCTGTATTTGATTTTATTAAAATAATAAAATTTGATTCATAATATGAATAGAATGTGTAGTAGGGAAGACTTAGTAAGATAAAAACTCGTAAGGATGTTTGTTTCCTTTTAGATATCATATACAACCAATGTGATGACTGAATTTCGATCACAAGAATGAAGATTTTGCGTAAGTGTAATGAGCTGAGGGAGTAGCTACAGCACCACAGTAAATATTTTTTTAATTATGCACTTTCTAAAATTTAGGTTTGTACAAGGTGAAGTAATGAATTTTCTCCCCACCCCAACCAACCCTTGGGTGGTCCATTGTTGTCCTGGGAGGGGAATAAACTTTCTAATAGTTACTTGGAAGTTATCATCATAGAATTTATCAGATCTTTGTAAAACCTTCTCTTTCCAGATCAAGTTTGTCCCAGGACACTGTTTGTCCCCCATCATGTGGGAAGGGCACAAAGACACCAAAAATTTGCTGAGGTTCTGCCAGCCAAACATTCTGTCCTTTTCATCCAAGTGTATCACGGTAGGATCCTAGGGGTGAGATTCTCTGCGGGGCTGAGTGAGGGGAGAGGGACTAGGAAGATAGGCTGGAGCAGGAGGGAAATTTCTCCCGCATCTGCTCTCTGCCTGCACTGGACCAGAAGCATGACACATAGAGTTATGCTTCAACTTTACAACAACCCTACGAAGTTTACACCTGAGGATACTGAAATCCCAGTAAACCACCCACCATCAATAATGGGTGGGTCTAATATGTTACCCAAGACCGTAAGCCTCCAGAGATTTTTTCATCTGCATATACACCGTCCACAAATACCTGTTCCCCATGAAACCCACCCATGGGATTAACAAGAAGCAGATGAAATTCTTTAAAATTATTTTTACATTTTTTTGAGAAAGTGACAGAAAAATGATATTTTAAAAGCATACACAAATAAAATAAAATATATAATTAATAAAACATTATATATAATTTTATATAACATAAATATATGGTTTATATTAATAAAATATACATATAAATAAAATAAGGCGAGTAGTTTTTTTTCAAAATCATCTAGCTTTTACATCAATACTTTTAGCAAAAACAAAAAACCAACAGCAGCCAATTGGCTTTATGAATTTTTCTAAAAGATCAGTTTACATTTGAAGTAATTTGATTCTCATACCGTAGTACAATATAATTGGTGTAACAGATTTATTGAGCATCTTTACTTAGAGCAAGTGTCTTGTGAGCATATGCATAATAGCTTTCTAGAGGAGGAATTTCAATGTCAGCCAAAGAAATAATCACTTACGAAAGAAAGAATAGATTGGGCAATTCGGCCTAAGTACCTTCAGGGTTTCCATGACAACCACAATTAGTACCATTTAAGAAGAAAACAATGGATCTGCAACCTCAGAATAGTAGCCAAATACATGTCTTCTAATGTATTTCTATTATTAGAAATACAAAGAGATAATTGAATATGGTACTGTGACTGCTCTGACACATACTTTTCAGAATTTCTGGTGCAGTGAGAGGATAGCATCATTAGCATAAACAATATTGATTGTGTGGGCTGTGGAGGGACTAAGATGAATGTCTTCTAGAAATCCCATCTGAACACTCACCGTCATCCCAAATCAATTACCCTCTATAGGATAAATAGGAACTGACAAGTTCTTTGTTCCAAAGTCACCAGAAGACAAAAGGGATTCCCCTGCTATACCTCCAGTTTTGGCTGGGTAGATCACTCCAAATTATAGAGGTTAACTAAAGGTAAATCAATAAGCTGGAACTGTCAGCATTTCATGATTAGTCCCATAAAAACTTTCTGATCATCCTTTTTTTCTTGACTTTGCTTTGGAGAATGTGAAAATACGGTCACATCAATTCTCGAGCACATAAACTTGGCTGTGATTACTGGCTGCCTTAGGCTGACTCAGCAGAGTTGGGCTATGAAGTAATGGAGCATGGATGCTTCAGCCTTTCCTGTCCAGCACAAGTTTTGTTGCAATGCCCTCTATAACTGGCAAATTTTGTACATCAGCCTTCTTTATTTATTTGGTATTACTATTTGAGGTTTCTAGCAGGTTACAAGTTAGTTTGCTCCAAAATATTCCCCTATTAAAAAAACTTTTTCCCATGTGCACAGGACAGGGGAGACATAAACTTTTATAAGCAATTTTGGCAATAACAATAGTTATCTTGTATTGATTATCTGAGAGTACTTTGCAAGGATTTGTTCGGTTAATCCTCACAGCTCTCTGAGGAACATATTATTATTATTCCCATTTACAGCTCAAAAAACCTAAGTAACAGCCCCAAATTACACAGCTAGCCAGTAGCCATGTACCAAATAAATGTACCAAATCCTAACAGCCTGACCCAGAGCTGGTTCAGTAATAACGCTATGCCAATTGCTGAGGTCTGAAACTGCTAGAAATTCTCTAATCCAAGTAGATATTGTTAATAGAATGTATTCACACAAACTAATGAATCTGCAGCCTGTCTACCTGGCATTTCCTTTTCAAAGAGTTGCTTGTCCAGAGAAGCAGAATAATGCAATGATAAAACGGGGCCACAGGTTTAAATCCCCGCTCTGTAATTCACCTACTAGATGACCTTGGGCAAGCTTCTGAACTCTCCTCAATCCAAGTGTCCCTGATTGTAATATGCATGCTGGAGAGCTATGGAGAATACTAGCAATGGCATATATTAAATGCTTAAAGGTAATAGGCACTCTGAAAATAGAGTCAACTATTTTGAGCTTCTTAGGAGTCCATCTCCTTCAGATCTATCTCTGACTCCAATTCTGCTGGTTGCCCCTAACAAGCAAAGGTTTTTCTAGCAAAATCCAAGAGGATTGTCTGTATGTTCTGAATCCTGCTAGTGGACTGGATGAAGGGGTTTCCTCTCATTTCTAAGTAAGGATAGTCTTATCCAGATACCGTTATATATAGTTTTACTAGGAAGGTTCCTAACCCCGGGGTGGCGATTGTCATTTTATAATGAGGAGGTTCTAGAGCTATGAAAAATACCAACTTGTATGAAACAAAATGGTTCCAGAAGAAAAGTAAATAGCGTCTGAGTTGTGACCCTTGGGTTGTGCTGGGCCTGGAATGTGGAGGTTGTAGAAAGGGCCTTATGAGGTGCACAGAGCACAACTCAAGGAGCTAAACAGAACTACAGGCAGCATTTGCTCGGCTCTAAGGAAACAGGAGAGCTCTTTTGATCCTAATATATTCAAATAGATCCTGAAGAAGCCCTGGAAACAGCAGAGTGTTCTGCAATATTTAAAGGCTGCTGCTGAGATTCACAGTCCTAAAATTAGACCTGCAGGCTGTTTCCTGCACTTCAGGCTAAACTTCCTTTCCATGCCCGGGATTATCTTTCCAGAAATGAAGGTTCTGGTTCATTTAAACATCTACTCTGTTTACAATATTAAAAGGTCCACACGAAGCGTGGGCTCTTCTGCCTTGTTTATAGACTTACCGAGCAGGACAACACCTGAGTTCTGTGAAATGAGGGGGCTGACAGGGAAACCTCCTTGGCCTGGGATAGTGTCTTATGCCTCAAGGACTGTACGAGGGAGACGGGACCCTGCTCGCCTCACTACTCCGCTTGCATGGCTAGTGTCTCAAAGTTTTAAATATTCACGACCTTGAAACGTAACAGAGTAATATCTCAGAATCCCCAGGACTCATTTAGAAATTACATCTTTAGTTTTGAAAAAGTATCAAAATAACAACTTTGATTTTTGATGTTAAATGAGGTCAGTAACCGTGGAAGTAAGGGAAGTCATATAAACCAAAAATGCATTTAGCAAATGAAATTAAAAACATTTACACAGACACACACACACATACATACGTGCACATATACATGTTTGCATCTATAATGCAGGTGCCCTCCCATGAACGGCCTTCATAAAACCATCACTGGCACATTAGCCAAACCTCCACAGGGACTGTGAGGCAATATTCCACATTATTATATGTCACGTAGTCAAAACTCAGCTGGTTGTCTATGAAGAATATTTTCCCCCCTAGGCAAAGTCTGGCTTTATGTGATCCAGACCTCTTTGCGACATGTTTCTGTCACCCAAGAACTACCGTGATTTGTCTAGAGTGAGGCTCGCGTAATCCACTACAGCAACTTAAACCTCTCTAACAAATGAGCATTTTCCTTACAACTTCTTAACCGGAGTACAGCTCTATCATTTACAGATATAGTTTTTCTCTCTCGATTTTAAAATCAACTACTGTGAATAATTTTAGTCATTGTTTTCTTTATTTAATCATGCTA